TGTATTGATTTGACTTCGACCGAGGCATTCATAACCCAAGTAGCAAAATTACGTTGTTCAACGTAATCACAACGTCGCCAGGAGCAACCCAACGTTGCCGGACCACGTCGAAGCGACGCACGGTGGGGTATTAGCATGAAAAAGGTGATCGAAATTCGAAAAAGCAAATGTGTTTAAGATTTCCCAAAAAAAGATAAATGATAAGATAAATCATGTCTGCCATGAATGGCGTTGCTATGGGTGTGTTTAGTTGCTTTCATTTGTTTCAACGAAACGTCAAAGTTGTTACTTCTCACAGATAAGAGGCAAATGGCTAAATTTTATGTTTAAAATTATAAATTGTTGCAGTTCTTGTGCTCTTTTTACGTTTATATTATTGTTTTGATTGAAAATGGCTCAGCAAGCTGCAGGTATGTATTCTACAAAGACGTATTAATTATTTTGATATTCTCTATACTAACGATTTTTTTGCAACTAAAAGTAGGCGTTCAAAAGATTTTATTAGATTTGTGACATTTTTATTATACTTAGAGATTTAGTTGCGCATTTCGAAGAATTCAGCATATTATCTATATACGTTTTACTTAGTAAACATTGGGCTTTCATACAGTAAAATAAAATACTGCGACTTTTTGCGACTTTGCTGATAAAATACGAAAAACATTCTTGGTTTCCTCTAATTTGCCAATGAGTGATATACTAATGCGAGGTGTAAACCGCGATGGCATTGTTGTGTACAAAGCGATCGCATTAGTGCCATTAGCAGTATAGCACAATTTGGCATTAGTAGCGACTTTAGTGGTATGGGCATTGCTCGCCGATCAGTCGTAGCATTAGTAGTATTAGTTGCGATATTACTACTGACATTAGTGGCATTGACCGTGGAAACACTGGAACAGTGATTTTTCTTTCTTTTTTTTAGAATCGACGAATAATCCTTTATTTTGTTCATATTATTTCCTCTTTAATTGAAAATAGCAATAATTTATATAAGGTCTACATAAAAAAATTTCGATCAACTATCTGTGTCAAATACCCCACTGTGCGACGTCTAAGCGACCCATATTTGCACCAAAATGGTGGATGTTTTTAGAGTCGCTACAACGTCGCCAACGTTGGCGACGTTGTTTGAGGCGACGTAGCACGTCTTGTTCTAAAAGTTGTTTTTCATGCCGATTCGTGATATTTTGAGGTAAATTTCGTGATATTTTGAGTTAAAAATATTCGTCGTCAAATATTACTATTTTCAACAATAGGGAAACCAAAATATTGATTTCGATTGATTTGGTGATGGCTGATGATGTATGAATTAGAAATGGAATATATTATGCTCTATTAAGAAATAACTAGGTGAATTTAACTGCGACAAATCTGCAAAGTTTTGAGATATCGGCAATCGAAATTCCTCAACGAAGATCAGTTTACTGTTGAAAGTGACCATGATACTTCGAAATATGGCAAAAACCCTTTTTTATTTCCTAGTTTTATTTTTAAAATTATAGTTTACTTGGTTAACCTAACTTCTTTTTTTTTAATTTTGTGACAAATATACGAAATCTATCAGGAAAATTAGCTTACAACCCTAACAGATACAGTTTTTTAACGAAATTCGCAGTATTTTGTGGTTTCTGATATTATATTCGATTCGTCCAGAACGCACGAACAGATAAATCATATTAAAATGGCGGAATTGCCTAAGGCACAACCTTTAAAATACCAATATAGTGCATAAGGTGCGGTAACCGACCTTTGGGTCACCTATGACAACCTTTGGTTCAAAAATTGACACCTGCTTTGACGAAATAGGACTTCTGAACCCTACCGACATCTAGGAGATAAATAAGAAAATTCCTTCTTACGGTGCTCTTTTTTACCTAGGAACAATAAAATAAAGAAGAAAGCTGGGATTCTTTGGTGGTGGTGGTCACATACTCGTTAATAAGATCGCTGACATTAGGTCAGTATTTCTATTTATTTATTGTTAAAAAAACCGTATAGGAAGTATTGTTGATTTTACCAGTCATTTGAAAATTAAAATCTAATATTCTCTTCAATTTATGCTGAAACTGAAATTCAGTTGACTGCTCTTCTGGAGGATAATTATTCTCACAGTATTCCTCTGTTGTACGTGCTTCAGGTGTACTGTTATTTATTTCTATAGTATTCATTCATGATCAGCTACCACTAGTAGCACTATTACTTATCAAAATTGAAGTTGACGTTCCTTCGATACATGATTGCGAGGATATGGATGACGAAACTAAACTCGTTATTTCCACTTTATTTTTCGGACACTGACTTGCTCGCTGACTTTCTTCTAAATACTTTTTCTTTTTTCTATAAAAAGTTGTAGATTATTTATATACTTTTTTTCCTATACATCTTTCTTTCGCTTTACACAGTAAGTCCAACAGAAAAAATACCTAACCAATTGCTCTGTGACAGTACAGTACAGAATTTTTTGAGGTTAGGTGTAGAAAGTTCCGCTTCCACAACAAAAATTGACAACGTAGTGATTGGTTATAATTTTGAAGTTGCTTTGGGTCGTTTAGTGAAACGTCGCACAACGTTGTACTACGTTTGTTATTCTGTAGTACAATAAACATGCCTTCTGGCGACGTAATGACAACGGTATAAAACCCAACTTCTAACAACGTTGTGGCCTACAACGTTTGCCAACGTTGTTAAGGGTCAAAATATACAACTGTTTAGGTGCAACGTCGTCGCGACGTTTTGGCTACGTAATTTGAGGTTTGGGTATGCATAGGGTAGGGAAAAATACCAATTTCAACGTTGCGTGTAGTCAAAACTAGTCGGAAGTCGGAATTTTGTTACTTGGGAATCTCATAGACTGTCAACTCTCGGAGACTGGAAAACTATAATACTTCCAAGACTCTAAGTATTTTTTTTATCTCTATACTCTTTAAGATCAATCTCGTCACGCTAATATCATTGACAGAGACAGTTATGTTCTTCCAATATAATTTCCAAGGTAAACCCAGCGAGGGACACTTCTATGTCCCTAAACACCTCCTAATAACCCCTGTATAATCACTATCTTCCCTCACAATCCTCTCCGCAGTATCCTAAAGGAACCGACGCGCCGAGGGCTTCCCCGAAATCCACCCTAGCCTCGCTGGCTCCCCGCGTTGCCTCTTTCCTATGTATTTATTCATATCTGCGGGCCAGATGATGTTATAAATAGAGCCCGAAAGTCGCGCTACGTTTTCTATCTAAATCACGCCGACATATTGCGATGTGTGGCAGAGGTTCGCAGCCTGCCAAATAAATTAGAGGCCGAAATGATTTCGAAAGGAAACAGGGCCGGAACAAGAATAAAAAGTATTCATAATTTGTCTTGGTATGAAAGTCGTTTTATAATTAAGGTTGTATTCTGTTGTAAAACCAGGCGAACCAGACGGTACGGTACAGAGCGGTTCCTGAAAAACATCGGTTTGATACGGAACGGTTTGGTAAAACACTCGAAACGTCAAATGTTGACGTTTTCTAAATTTCAATACCTCTATTATAAAATTTATCTTTTGTGCATTTTTAATGTACCTATTCTCTGCTTTTTTGTTTGCTTCTTCTTTTCAATGGAGTTTAATATTGAAAAGTACCTTATTAATAAACTATTAAACTCGTTAGACAGCTTAAGTGAAGATTTGCAGGTCCAATATTAAAACAGATCAATAATAAATAAACAAATCTAATCAATATTTATATTTTTATAGGTTATAAAACATTCACGATTACTTATTGTTTAGTTCTTCATGGTTTCTTTAAATGTTCCTGACTTTAAGAAAGAATGGCTGCATGATAAGTTTAAATTGTCCTAAAAAGTCGTTCTATTTAGTTAATAAATTTATTTACCTTTACTGCCTACCACCTCCATTGCTTTTGGATGTAAATACAAAATATTATTACAAATTTTAGAAATTAAATGAGAAATTCAGTGGAACTTAACCAGTATTTGCTTGATTTCTGTCACATAAATGACATTGATTGACAAACAAAACCAGAAAAACCAACCTTCTCGCGCTGCACTATGGTTTCTAGAAGCTAATTTTTTGGCCAAAATACATATTTTAGACCCACTGTATATGGACTATTTTTGTAAGTGGAATGCAAGCAGATATACAAATGAAGAAGACCACATGCCTATATTTTTGTTTAGTTTTCATTTTTATTCCTTATCAGCATTAGACGTTCTAGTGAAGTATTTGTGCCTATTCAGTTGTTGTTTATGTGCGAGTGAATATTAAGTGATATATTTCAGTGGGATATAAAAACGGATTACTGTTATTTTTACACTTTATGGTATGTATTTTTAAGAAATCACTAACAATTGCACATAAGAATCAGCGTCCATGGACGTTCTGAAATATTTACATCAGAACAGAAAAAGAAAATAAGATAATTTTAACAGAAATAGCTGTTTGGTTTGATGCTTTCTAGCGATTGTATTATGTTATCTATTTTTCTAAATAAAACGTTAAATATTTTGAAACAATCCTTTGTGAACATATCAAAGAAAAAATTGGCTGCTACTAGCTGCAACTTTTTTTTTAAATATATTTTTTTTCTCCTATGTATCGATTGAATAAAATAGATATTTCGGAAAAATGGCTACAAGGGGCCGATAAAGTTGAGAAAAACGGGTATGTTTCAAATTTTGTAAGACAGAAATTTCAGAATAATGAACAAGGACTATCAGCTACAAAGAAAAAAAGATAAATCGCCTTTGTACAAATTTTGAAAGAAGATGGCAGGCGGCTTCGCGGCTTAAAGATTTGTTTTTAAAACAAAATAAAGACTGGTTAAAGGAGGATTTTATCCTTGAGTTAAATGAACCCCCTCCATCCACATCATCTGCCGGCCGCCCACGAATACCTTTTTCGGAGCAATCTTCCAGAACTCAGAGAAGAACGGCCTCAAAAGTTTCCGAGGAACATAGGCAAGATTGGGCTTTACTTGTGCAGGCTGCTTTGTACATTTAGTTATCTTGCCGATGTACTTAACCTACTGCTTGTACCTGACATTATCAAAAAGAAGTTAAATGAAGAACAATTTGAAGAGATGCATGGAAAAGAAGATGAATACGAGGAGGAAGAGCAAGAAGAAAAAATGCAAAAAGAAGAATAGCAAGAAGATATTTCTAAAGAAGATTGTTTTGAACAGCAGTAATTCGATGATTGATCAACTTTCTTTTTTGGAACTAGATACAGAAGATGCTTCATAGGTAAAAGTTAATCACACGTTGAATGAGAAGATTAAAAATAACTTCATTTTATTAGTATTTTATTATTTTATTAAAAACACAAATTTACAGTCCATATTTTCCATTAAATGTAAGTTGTTTAATTTTGGCCAAAAAAGTAGCTTCTAGAAACCATAGTGCACTGGTTAGTTTGGTGACAGTTATAACCGAATTCTTCAGGAACCGTGTTCCGTAATAAGAAAACTTTCAGGAAACCGATAGAAACGGAACATAAAACCATAACCAATGTAAGCAACGCAATACACCCTTAGTAAGAAAAGTTGATGATTGACATTCTTAGGGCTAAGACTAAAATTAAATGGCTAAAATAAATTGTGAACTAAATGCGGATCTGTCTTTCCTAGAACGAATGTATGAGATGCGGCTGAACGCGATGAATACTAATAAAATTGTAATTTTGCCTAGACAGCGGTTTGGCATCTGCATATTCTATTAAGGTTTTTGCCTTCGACATTTACGTGATTTCATTGTTCTTAGTGGTGTATATAAATACACACACCGGAAAAATCTAGGGATATCATTTTATTAAAGTTAAAAATAAATGTAACAACCACATATTTGTAGGCCGATTCTTTCTACTTCGATTGAAACGAAGTAGTCACACTAGTTATTTCTAAATTTGGGATATTTGCAGAAGTGTTGTGCATTTTTTGTCAAATGTATAAAAAGCACCTAGCATCAATTGTTCGAATTTAACCTGTACTGGCTATGTTTTTATGATAACTGACCAGAATTCAATCAAATAACTCTGTTTAGTATTAAACGACATTATGGAGCGTATACATCTTAACACAGACGAAATGCTAAGGGCCATGGGTATGCTCGAAGCTGGAATGCGCCAAATCGACGTAGCTAGAACATTAAATACAACGCAAAGTGTAATATGGCGATTAAGTGCACGCTACCGTGAAAATGGTGATGTTGCTGAAAGGCACACAGGGCGACATCGCATTACTACCCCTCAGCAAGATCATTTTTTACAATTAAATGCTCGACGCCGACCGACTCTTATAGCACCAAAGCTAAGTTTAATTCTCTAGGAAACACATAATGTACCCGTTAGTCCTCACACTGTTCGCAATAGATTAAGATAGGTCAACTTAAGAAGCAGACGCCCCTGGAGAGCTCAACCCTTAACGAGAGGAAACCGAGAGGTACGATATTTGTGGGCTCAAGATCATGTTCAGTGGTCGAATGGACAATGGGCCCAAGGTTTCTAACAGGAATATATCGTGATTTAATTCTTGAGCCTGTCCTGTTACCATATGCCAATGATTTTGGGAGAAACTTCATTCTCATGCATGACAATGCACGGCCTCATACAGCCAGAGTGGTAAGTGAGTTTATCAATGCTCATCAATTAAAAATGGTTTTATCTTTTTTTTTTAATTCACAGTTTAGAATAAAAAAAAATGTGTGTATTTTTTTGAGTTCAATAAAAATCAAGGTAAATTTGAAAAATTCGATAAATTTCGCATTTTTATTTCTAATACGTCCTGTAAACTATTTGTTTATTTTAATTTTATTATATCAGAAATGCAAATAATAAAATTACTGACGATGGCTGGATAAAATTGTAATATCCCTAGACTTTTCCGGTGTGTGTAGTAATATAGTAGTTATATAAGTTTATACAGTCTGTCCTATTTAAAAACGAACAAATAAAAAAAACTATTAAATCTTTCCAAAGATAAAACACCAATTTACTAAAACACTTAAGAAATTCACAAATCTAATATTTGTCAGTATTCATGGTACACAGGGCACAGAATAGATTTTAACAACGCCAAAATTATAATGAAAGAAGAGATAGCCTCTAAAATAAAAATAAAAAAGGCTTTTTTAATACAATCTATTAAAAATAAATGTATTGCTCATGTATCTGTACATATTCCTCTCTAATTTTAAAGTACAAAATATAAATAAACATAACATACGTAAAAATTGAAAATAATCATACAGAAAGTGTGAAGGTTTTTGGTTTAACCTTACTAAGTAATTGTTATCAGGTAGTAATTGTTAATTTTGAAGTATACCTTGATATAATGTCATTTTAACAGAACGTCAACGATTTCTGTAGACGTATCTGTTTTAAAAAAACTAAAGTGTTCTCGAATAGTTGCATTTAAATATTCTAAATAGTTTTTTTTCTTTATTCTTTGTATTTTTTTTGCTTCCCACGACGCGACGGAAAGGTATAAACTTTCCGAAACGTTAAGCATTTTTTTGTTTGTTAGGCAAGTTTATTACCAGTAAACCTAATTAAACCTTAACCTAATTTTCCCGAAAGACTAACCATTTTTGAATAACAAATATTGTAATATTTGAGGGGCGTTTTCACCCTCTTGGAATTTGAGATTCGAGAAACCCCACCTTATCGAACCTCTACACCCCACAGTCAATTCGTTTGCCAAAATCAGCTTTAAACGTCAAGCAGTTTAAGCAGAATCGTGATTACTAAAGTCATATTTTATGAAACACCCTGTATAAATTTATAAAAAATCTTAAAATATGTAAAACAACAAAATAAAATATACGTGTTTAAGCGTTTTTTTCGGAAACTTGACCATTTCTTAAATAAAAAATATTGTAATATTAGAGGGGTGGTTTCACTCTTGGAACTGGAATTTCGAAATATCCCTTCTTATCGAACCTCTACACCCTAGAATCAACCTGTATGCCAAAATTGAGCTTCTTACGTTGAGTGGTTTGAACAGGATCGTGATTAATCAGTATGCCGGCGAAATACCCATATAAGAATTTTTTGGAGAGATGAATCCGCCACATCAGTATAGACATTTTTTTAAAACACTTTACTTTTACCGAGTATGTTCAGCATCAGCAGATGATTAAAACTAAACTAATATCTACAAATTCATAGTTTATATAGGCGCTCGGTTGGTAGCGACTAAATGTGATAAAATTCGCCTTACTATTCTTTAATGGCTATTCTTGAACTACTAATTTCATATCTATTGTTGGTAAGTAAGTGAAAAATTAGATAGTCTAAATAAGTAAAACACAGTGGAAAGATTTTTTTTTCAAAAAAATCCCTCTTACCGCAATCCAAATATAATTACAAAAACCTACAAAAGATCCCTTCCAAACCAACCAGGAAAGAATTTCCTCATTACTCCCTTGTCTCTCTCTAGGGCTAATTACATCACCGACAAGGACACAGAGCAAGGACTAACTGCATCAGCCTGCATACTTTATCAACCCTTTTCCACTGGCAGTAGCAGCGTCGCTCTCTAATATGATTTGTTCTGCGAACGGTGACTTGGTAGGAATCCACGGCGGTCTTTGGCTTTCGCTCCGAATTTTATCTTAATAAGATCAAGAGACGCGCGGCTTTGATGTAATTCCGGGCGATAACCGGCATGGCGGCTGGCTTGCCAGATTTTAGAAATTTCCAGACCAAAAATTAGTGTCGTTTTAGTCGGCGGAGTCGCGGAGAAGGAGGGGTGGATGAAAGAAAAGGGTTGATGCGGGTCTAAATAAATGAGTTTCTAAAGTTTTTGACTTATTAATGCATATATTTTAAATATACTGTCTTACGCAGGGTGTCAAAAAAATACTGTATCTCACTTCGGTGAGTGATTCTACAGATAAAAATAAAACAAAAAGTTTCTATGAATATACAGGGTGTCATTGAAATGGTGTAAAAAAATCAGTGGGTGATAGTACTCATAAAAATAGTAAAAAAAGTTCCTATAAGTATAGGGCAGAAAATGCATATTAAGGGAGCTAGGGGCACTCAAGGGGTGAATTTAAAAAACCGTTGTTTTAAAATTGTAGGCTTAAAGAACGACATAAAATTTCGAAAAAAAATGCTCTGCCATAAATTTTGACCCTAAATCAAATGTTGATACTGAAAAATTATTTGGAAAAGCGGAAAGGGTAGTTTTTGCAAGGGTAGGGGGTTGTTTTGTGAATAACTTTTTTGAGGTTATTTTTTTTGCAACGTGGGTTCATTTTTTGAAAACTACATATTTTTTCTTACAAAAAAGGTACTCTTGTTGTACATCGCCCAAAGCGATGGTTTTCGAGAAAATTGAAGGCAAAAAGTTTGCTCTGATGGGTTCCTAATTGGTTAATCAGCATAAACTTATGAAAGTTATGGTGGTTCAAAAGTAACCAAGTAGTTATTAAATAATTAATTGGAAAATCGAAATTTCATGATTTTGAAAACATCTTATTGCTTTAAAAACGAAATAGAGATGAATCCGCCACATAGGTATATTCAATTCAATTCAAAAGTACTTTATTCTTAAAAAATATATAAATTTTTGTTAACAAAGCATATTATTCCTAAATCTAAACCTAAAACATTTATTGCCAGCAATCTTAACATTAAAAAACAGTTTTATGAAAAGTAAACAAATGCGTGTAAATACAAAAACAAAAAACAAAAAAAATGTTTAAAAAGATTGAACAATCAGCAAAATAGGTTTAAACGACTAAGTAAAATAACATACAATATACAGAACAAAGATAAGATAAAAAGATTCTAAATTCTAAACACTAAACACAAATATCAAGGGTGTCCCGGTAGAATTCGTCAACGCTGTAAAATTCCCTACTTAAAAGTTCTTTTTTCAGTAGCCTCCGGCAGGTTTTTATGGAATTAACCAATCTTAAAGCAAGCGGCAGATGATTAAAGACCTTTCGGCCCTATAGACATTTTTTATGTATTGTCTAGTTCCATTCTAAATATCTTAAGAACAGTTGCTCGTAGCGATTTTTACAAAGAGATATTTTTTACGTAAAAAGTCACAGACATGTATATTTTCTCACTCAGTAGTTTTATACAGGTACGGACAAAAAGTTATTACGCTTCAAAACAGTTAAAACACATGTAGAT